CAGTTACAAATTCTAGGTATTTTAAGAGAACTCAATTAAAACTCCTGACAGGAAAACTGGCACTCTAGACCGATCAATTAAGCCCACTATGCACTTTGACTGTGTCATGCTGCTTGCTGCTTGTGTCATGAACAAGTGCAAAAAACGTTGGGTTTTGCCAGACATTAGTTGTGTAATGAAGGCTGCAATTGGTCAAGGCTTGAATCACTAATTAGATGACGAGGCATGTGGCTACCCTAATGGATCAGTCACTAGGGGTACAGCTGTGAATTGATGGGTAGTACAGGAACCGGGTACCCGACTGAAAAAAACACATGGGTACCCAGGTACCTGTTAAAGAAGCCCAACCCCACAATTCAAACATCGGATGATGCTGTTCAGATCTATCATAAAGGTTTGCACAATAATACTGTACATCGGTGCATCAATGGAGCATCTTGCTTAAGTGTGTACAGTGTGCTTTGTGGTCAAAACTGCAAGTTTTGCAAGTGTCATAAAGATTTGTTTTCCTATGTAGCCTGGCTTTCAATTTGAACATTCCTAACAAATGACATTCACAACCTTTCTTTTTCCAGTTTTGGAACCAGTTTCTGACATCAACGATCGGGTACTCGGGTACCCAGTTCGGATGCACAGCCCTATCAGTCACCATAGGTTGTAATTAAACATTAAGAAGTTGTGTAACATTCATGTACCTGTCCGTTTCCCATGAGTTTGCTTTTAGTCAACCACAGCGCCTGCTTGACACCTTCCTGTAAGGAGACATCATGGGTGAATAAGTAAGCAACGTCATCATGGTAGTGGGGATTCTCCGGTCCAAAATCTACCCTGAAGATAAGAAATAAACAAATCGAGAAGGGTGATCAATGGGCAAAGGTTAAATGGGTACCTTCAAAACTCCAACCTTTCTGCACGCAGTTGTACCTTATCCACTTCAGAACCTTATTTCATCACAACAAATCAACTTGTAACATTTCAAAGACAAAATGATTCTGGCTTAATGGACAATTTATTAACGAAGAAAATGTGAACAAAAATGTATAATGAAAACAAATTCCCCTTTCATATGAACAGGTCTGCGAGTGCAATTGTTTTTCAGTACTTTATATCTCAGCAAAATATGTATGGTTATGTAAGCTTGAGCTAAAAGAAGGCAAAGAACTTCAAAGAAGCAATACTTTCTGCGAAGGATTTTTTTCTAGGAAATTTAACAAGCGATACATGCAGTAAAGCAATCATATGTATTAACGGCTTGGTTCATGTTCAAAATACATGTACGTAGTCTGGAGGAAACTCAGACAGGATGAGACAAGATGCACAAGACAACTGCTCCTTCAAGACCTTGGCTGCAGAAGGATGTAGGCACAAATTAACAGGACAAAGTCAGTACCTTGGTACGTTCATTTTGTACCTGTTTGAGTATTGTGGATGGTTGTTAGGTAATTCAACTCGTGGTGGTTGTTCAATTGCAGGTTCTAAGCCCAGCATCTCTTCAACAACTCGATGCAGTGGCTTCTTCTTTTGTTTGTTTTTCTCTATTCCACGTTTCAGGACTTCCGGTCGGTATCCTCGATGGAAGAGAAGTTGTGATGATACAGCAGGCAGACATCTTGTGAGGATGGTGGCAGCTTGATGTGTTGTATGAAACAGCGCCATCTCAAAATGTTGCGTCACTTTCTTGGTTTAGTTGTTTAATCTGTAGAATGAGGAGTGATATCAAATCTGGTTTGGCAGTGCGATGGTATGATTTTCTTCCTTTTTGTTTTTTAAAAGAAGTTAAAAGACTAATTTTTGTGAAATTTCATGTTGAAATTTTGATACGCAAACGTGTGCAAATGTATCTGGAAATTTCACGAAAAATGGACATCTGAAAAAGGCAGCACTTTCTGATTAGCCTATATAGAGGGTGAGAATGCTTCTAAAGCAAAAAAACCTACAAAGTAAGCCTAAATGTGAAAATCAAAATGTGGCAAAGTCGACACGTTTTTGTACATGTGGATGTGGGGTCGCACTAAACAGCGTCAACACAGCGTCAACACAGCGTCAACACATGACAGAAGCGTCAACACACCGTCAACACATCCAAAACACATTCTGAATTGACAAAAAGGGCATATAATTGTGAAACATACAATAAAGGAGAATTTCCATTGGATTGAGTTTCCATTTCGTTGTTAAAAATATCGTATTTTCACGCGAAAAAAATGACCTTAACTTGCACGGCCGTTGTCCGCCATCTTGACTTCGCACAAAGCTTGGACTACACCATTTCAAGTAGGGGTGTGTAGGTAATGACATTATCTTGTCATAAATAACAGAGGGCGCCTTGCAATATTATACAATAATGTAAATACCAACGAACAAGTAAAGAAAATTAAACAACAAAGGCAATTGCAGCGTAAACACAGCATTAAATTGTTAGTCTTTACAGATATTTTTAACACTGGCGACCCCGGCCGCGTCCCTCTCTGTTGGTTTATTGTACAACGCTATCACCCTTTAGAATAATGGTATGGTCCGCGCTGCCATTGAGGCAACATGGCGGGTGTTCGGTAGCCGATTTCGGAGCGGCACGGAGAGCCAATTTTCTTGAACTAAAAATCGCGATTTTCAGACGTTTAACCTATTGATTTTAAGCACAAATCTTGTTTCTGTCCATACTGTATGGGTTACATACTGCTTTTGTCAATTTTAATGCATTTTGGATGTGTCGCCGTTGTGTTGACGCTGTGTTGACGCTTTGGAGTGTGTTGACGCTGTGTTGACGCTGTTTAGTATGACCGTGGATGTGTGGCCTATGTTTACGGAGGCAGTCCAGTAAATAGGCCACATTATGGGGCTAGTAATAAGCCAGTGATTATAAGGAGACAATTTTCTTACTTTTTACGTTAGTAAGAGGAATGAGTGTACTTAATCCTCTTCTACTTAATTCAACTTGTTTGATGTCGAATTTATTCATCAACGAGGCAATAACAACCTATTTATCGGGTATTTATCGGACACAATTCGAGCGAACAAACGATCACATGGAGGTCGCCATTTTGAATAACTTATCTCACCAATAGAGGGCGCCGTTCGATATTACGGAACACGTTTTTCTCACCAAGAGAGGGCGCTGTTCAATTTTTACCGAACAACTTGAACAACAGTCCTGCCATTTATTTAGACATTTATTTGGGGCCCAATGATAAGTACATGTTCATGTTTATGATTCCAACATTCATCATCCCCTGCACATAATATTTGATGAACATAATAAAAGTGCCATGAGGGGGATCTTATCAATGCTTCAGTCAGTGGCGCACTCAGCAGGATTTCAAGTTTGTCAGGGGCGCAGCGCGGCGCGGAACGCTTTTCAAACTGGGGGGGGGGGGGGGGGGGGATTCACCAAAAGGGGCACTTGCTCAGAAACAAGGCACCTTCCGTTTGTGTGAAATATGAGAAAATTGTGAAACTATTTTCGTTCACATTGCAAGGAATACACATTACCAGGAACAAAATTTACCGACACAACTTTAATATATACTTTTACAAATAAAACTTGCGTGAAATTCTTTAAAACTCTTCAATCAAAAAAACAAAAAAACAAGTAGGCCTATTCCTGCGATAGTCTCAATATAGCTGTATTGTTCTCAAATAAGGAATTGTTTTCACTTGAGAGAGCCCTTTGGCCTCAGGCACACCCTGGCAGTAACTTTTCTTGGTCCGCCCTTGAATTTATAGTTAGGCCTATGCAAGGGACCAGGTTTTTTTTTCATGAGAGGGGCAGTGTTATTTTTTTTTTTACAGGTCACTTTTCAATCTTGATAGGGGCACAGTTTTAATGTAGCAAACAGGGTACTGAGGAGCAGTTTTCTATCTCTATAATTTATCGGGAGAAGAGCGCTGTTGTTTTTGATGGCCAATTTCCCATCTCGAGAGGGCACTGTTGTATTATTGCGATCGAGAGGGTGTTTGTGCTTTCGAGGGATAGTTTTCCATCTCGAGAAGATTCATAATCTCGTTAATGCGCGAGGGGTTTTGTGTTTTTGAGAGCACTTTTGCATGAAAGAGAGGAGACAATTTTTAGGCGCAATCTTAATGCTTTCATGTGTGCGTTTCAGGGGCGGTTTTGTTTTCATCTCGAGGGGCACTTTTTTGGCCTAGAAAAATCTGTAGGCAAGTCCCACCCCCGCCCCCCCCCGGTTCCGCCGCCCCTGGTTAGGGGATGGGGAGATGATTCCCTCCTTTTTTGTAAGATCTTATGACCTCTGCCCTGTCTTGCTCGCAGAAGAGATAAGCCACATGAATCAGTGTACCCGCAAACTATAGTCATAGAAATGGTCAGCATGGGGGAGGTTAAAATTCGCGATATTTATCGTTCTTCAAAAATTTAGGGAATTGTTACATGACAAATAAAATCAATTTACTTATCAAGAGCCCTGTTCAACAGCTCCTAAACTGGATTCATGACAAGGTGACAATCCACTGATCGTTGCGATTATTTCCCTTTTCCTTTAAGAAATAAAGGTTGACCCAAAAGTGGTCGTATTTCCTCGATAAAAATGAAAGATTACCCAATAAAATGTACCCAGGAGGCTATAGTTACAAATCAAATATAATGGATGGCGACGTTAGGCGCTTTCGGTCCGCCGTAACCTGACCGATTCTGCCGGGGGAATTTCTTTTTTCTCTCTCTTCTTAAAAGTCTCCAAGGAATGCAGGCGAGTTAATGTTTCAATGGGAATGATCATGATTAAAACTCTTTGGCCACTACATTCTTGATTATTTGAATAGCAGTCACGGTCTAAATAAGACGTTTGATAAATCATCAAATGCGTAATCCTGCACTTGATTTCTTCCTAAATAATATACTATAGTTGCTTGAGGTCGAATTATCAAAACATTACATTACAACCCCCGTTGAAATACTGGACGAGGCCAGGGCCATCCTGACCCTCTTTTCACGAGTCTAAGGTTTCTATTGGCGACTGTGATCAAAGGTACGCGCCAATCGAAAATGTCCGTTCCCCAGGTAAGCATAAATCGTGATTGTGCTCCCAAGTGACCCGCTAAAATCCTCACCTTTTTACAAAAGCCTTTCACTTCAGAGTTCATTTAGTTTGCTGTACGCTGGTGGGTGACAGGAGCTCCGTTGGCGAAACTTTCGTTTTCATTGCTCCATCACTCTGCACTGTAAACGCCACAATGGTGAGTATTTTAACGGAATTTTTACGACGCCTAAATATTAAGTGATGCATTATAATTATACGCACGTCAACACAATGTTGCTGGGGTTTTAAATTAACCAATTGTAAGTAAAACATCATTGTTTTGTGCTTCACCATGGTTCTTCTCACACTTCAAGTAAAGGTGTGTGCCTTGCAGTTCATTTTTTTTGTATTCAGCTATCGTTGCTTTAATAACAGACCGTGAATTAGGAATTGTTGAATAGAAAAGCTTGTTAAACTAAAAAACAACAGCCAAGAAATCATTTTAAAATCATAAAGTCCGATGATTGAGCTTCATGCTCTGAAACAAGTAACCATAGGCATATCCAGTTATTTCACGATATTGCAGAGTGTTCGTACAAATTTCCCCGCGGCCACCTGAACATTCTGAAGTGAAAGGCTGTGAAATATAGGTTAGTATCACTTGTTTGTGATGCTTTATCTAAATTTTAAAAACTAAAAGTTATTGGTTTTAACTTTTCAGGCATTGAAATTGACGTCATTGCTGATTATTACCCTAGTTCTCACCTCTTGTGAAGTTCTGACCAAAACTGGAAAGGTAGGTAGTGATTCATTAAACTTCTATAGCTCAAAGTTAACTTTATTAGCAGAAGCTTGTCAAATGCATGCCCAATGCTCTTCAAAATGGATAGTGTTTTTTTTTAATTTGTATGTTTTTTTTTTCAACGAAACAACCACTTTATTTCGATTGAACGCTGTGAAAAAAAAGGGTTGCTTTGTGCACAAAATAACCCGCCGTGCGAAAGCCGAATCATTGTATGTTAGCCAATAAGTCGAATTTTGTGCAGAAATATACGTCGGATGATTTTTATTTCATAAGTGAATAACTTTGTTCAAAAGTAAATAACTTAAATATTGCTAAGAAAAAAGCAATTGGAAAAAAAAACAAGTTGAAACTCAAAAAAAGCACGGGAATACATGTTTACAAACGTTTAAAATAATTTATTCGGTTTCTTGCTGAAAGAGAATGACAGAGATTTCCCCCCTTTTCCCCCCAGACGTAATCGTAAAAAAATACTGCTAATTATGTTAGCAGTGATATCTATCTAGAGCCCTTCGAATGGCGTCTAGTTTGTTTAGGAATAGCCTTTTTCGTGGGCGCAGTTTGTCAAGAATGTCAACCGGCGCAATATGCCCAAAATCGCATAAAAAACACACGAACATAATTTCTCCTTCAATTCTCGCTCGCACATTTCTCTCGTACAATTCTGAATTCTGTTTACCAGACTTTCGTAAACACCCATAACGTGTGTAAGTTAAAACTCCCCAAGAATGCCTCCAGGTTTTGACTGTTGACCCTAACAATTGCCGCGTGGAGATTTACTTTGTTGTTTTTCGTAATGTTGTGAATTTCAAGCTTCCGTTCTCCAATTACCTCAGTTTTATTTCATATTTCTTCAATTACGACCTTTGCCCGCAGCCATAAGGCCACTTTTGCACACCACTACTGTTCTACTTTGCTCGCAGCAAAATCCATAATTTAGTTATCAGTATCCGTGCCGGTAGAATATCAGATTGATTCGGCGTGTTTATTACAAAAATCTCAGTTACAACAAATTCTTCAGTGCCGTATATGGCGTTGTATACCCTCTAGCTAAAATTGGGGACATTTGTGTACTCCTAACTGACCGAGCACCAGTGACAGACTGGTCGGACTACAAGACCACCCAACCAACAACCACTTAATATTCTTATCTAACGTTATATCTTCATTTCCAAACATAACCCTGAAAAGAATATAATAGAAACCTACTTTCCAATGAAGTCTTCTTATTTATTTACGATAAGCGTCTCAGCTTTACTATCGATTACAACGAACTGATTGGCCTTATTATGAAGCTACTCGACCTTGTTCTAAAGTGCTTTCTGTCACGTCCTTTTTTTCGCAATGAATTCCAGCAAACGTTTTGATTGAGACAGAGGAGGGAAAGATTAAGTTTGCAACCTTGACAAGCAGAGAACCCAATGGATGTTAGTCAGGTTGACACGAATCGAAACTGAAGTCTCCCCCTCGAGCTATTTATGTGGAACTGAGACAAGGACACAAGGACTCGAGTGGTGTGAATGCCAAAATATCTTGACATGAAGCTCTGACAGGAGCTGGGTCGGTCGGACGGACGGACGGACGGACGGACGGGCGGTCGGTCTGTCTGTCTGTCCGTCTGTCCCGAAAATCGACCAAAAGTATGGTGTTCCATACGTGCCATCGGCGTCGCATTTTCCGGCATCGTATTTTAAGCTCTTGGCAGGGATCCTTTTGATCGGTTTCACGCAAGACTTTTGAGTCTAACACGGCCAGAGTATAATGCACTCGCAATTGTTCATTAAAGCATGGAGAAATAAAACATGTTTTATTTCTCCATGGATAAAGGCACAGGATATATTTTTTTAAAAGTGTGAAAAACTCTGTTAACGCGACGATGGGAGGTCGCTGTTTAGGCCTATGAAATTTGAGAGAAAAAAATCTACTCTCCCGCTAACGGAAAACTTTGTCCAATGGTCGGTTGCTACATGTAGTTCAAGTTGGCTGTATCTGCATAATCCTAAAGGGGCTGGGGGCGGAATCCGCCCGCCCCCCTCAACATTTTCCGCGATAGCCTCTAAAAAAATTTTTTCGCGACCCGAGCTGTTATGACTAGGCGCCGTGAAAACTGAATTTTTGCATATAAGTCGTGTACACAGAGCAGAATTGCCATTCGAACATGTGAATAATTAATTAGCCATAATTCCAAAACCCTTTGACCTATAGTCATGAAATTTCTTGGGTATGTTTAGGAAGAGTTGCTCTATGCATGTGCTGAGTTATTCGTCACTCGATGGCCGAGATCTTGGGGATCCCCCCCCCCCCCCCTGCTGAGAGGTGGTCAAAATAACCCGGCCCCTTTAGGGTTAATAAGACTGCTAATATCCTCTTTGGCATCAACGGGAAGTCAGGTGAACTGTCATTACATGGACACATGCGCACTGTTGAGCTCAGTTCACCCGCATTCGGGCCTAGGTCCGTCTAAACATCTATCCCACGAGTCAATTTGCCTGGATCCAAGAACCTATAGAATCTTACCAAAATACAGATTCGCTATTAATCCCACTATTGATCGAAACTCGTGGAAAAAATCATTGAAAGTAATTGGTACTGTAACTGCATTAATCCTCAATGACAGTTTTGCAGATGACAGAAATAGCCGGGAGCTGTTTGGTCGATATTATTGTTGGGAGCGATTGGACGCATTCTAATCCCAAACAAAAACTATGTAGATGGAAAATCCAGATTTTTTGTTGGTTGGAGAGTTGAATTCAATAGGCACAGTCACTACGTAATCCTTACCCTCAGGCATTCAAATAATGACCACACTTTGATTCTGCGTCAATGATGGCTTGTTTTCAATTATTGTTAAGGCCAACAGAGGGCGTCACATGAAGAAGGAATGGCGAGGTGAAAGAAAAGCCACAGAGGGTAAGCCGGTCGAATCCCGAGGCTGGACTTAACCTTTAAACAATCACAACGATTTACCGTATTCACATAAAATATGAAGGAAAACATAACAGCCGTATATATGTACTGTGCATGCATGGGACGAACATTAAAAGCTAATTGGCAAGAATTCTTATAATTATTTAATTACACAGTAATAAGCTGAAAGACGTTTAAACCAAGTTTGAATGAAATAATGTGCTTCAGGTAAACGATTGTCATTGGGTCTGCAACAACTAATGGTGATCTGTAGTGATGGCTAAACTGTCAATCGAACATGTTACTTCTTACATGAGGGGGCAGAGACAAAATCTATCCAAAAATTAAAGAATAGGCTTAGTACACGGAGTAGGAAGAGAGATAGGTCGAACTTGTTCTAAGTATTTACAGAAATGCTTGCATGATTTTGGTATCCTTTAATTCATAACGCTCGGTTGTGAATTCCTTTACAGCTGACTCAAAGAGTCTTCCATCTCAGGCAGACGTATGTGCAGGTGTTGAGTGCGGGGTGGGCAAGGAGTGCACATTGACGACTGATGGAGAGGCTAGCTGTGTCTGCGTCCAAGTACGATGTTTCCCTCTGAACCAGGCTTAGTCTTGTATAACGCTTCATTGCTTGTTATTCCTCAGTCACAGATGTCCATACGCCAAGAGTCGATTGCTCAGTGACGTTAGAAATAATGGCTCGAGTATTATGATCGCATTTCAGTCTTCGTAACTCATTTCGTCTGATATGTGATGGTCGGTTGTAGTCTAATGCCGATCACATAAAAACAAAAAAGAGTGCAAAATAAGACTTTTATGGGTAGGGTGGATCACTTTGTGTTGTCAAAGAGAAGGCTGTCGTTGTTTTGCGCTTTAAGATTTGCACATGATATAGACTCGATAGCGTTCTATACTCGAGTGTAAAAGCACCATATCATTATACCACATAATTATTGTTATTGTGATATTCGTAACTTTAAACAATGCAGGATTTTTCTATGTCCAGAAAGCCAACTATTGCACCGAGTGGTCCCGTTATGTTACCCTTATGGCCCCCTAATGGTGCCCTACCAACAGCGCCGTGACTGTGTTAATAATGAAGTTGGCTATGGTGTTTCCGTTTAGGAATGTAGACGTCATCGCAGCCGTTTACTCTGCGCATCTGACGGTGTGACGTACACCAATGAATGTGAGCTGCAGAGAGCTGCATGTCGAGGCGGAATCCAGCTGTTTATCGAACACGAAGGCATCTGTGCTCGTGAGTAAAAGTCAAACGGTGTCCTAAGTAAAATATACCTTTTCAAAGAAATTGAAATATATCGTTAACCTGGTATGGAGGGAGTCGTTTGCAGTCCATTGTGATTGTAGATACATGTATTTTATTGAAAGCTAAGAGGAAGGAATATGTTGAAGACTAGTACCTGATTCCTAAGGGCAATGACAGTGTGCGAGGCGGGGTTGTTACAGGGGGTTTTGATATCCAAGATTTATCAAAGTGATGCATGAGACGTTGCAACCTGTCAAATACATCCCATATACTGCATGGTTAACGGACATTGTATATTCATACCCCTGTTTGTTTCATTTAGCTTTGCCCACAGATCCCACCCCTACCTCGAGTCCAGCCTCCCGTACCCATCCCATCGCATGCTATCAAGATCAGAGAGACACACTGCAGCGTCAGATCGTTGAGTGGTTACAGGGAGTAAGTGCGTCTGCAGGACCCGAGGATAACGCCTACGAAGCGCTGCTAGAAGATTGCTTTGCAGTAAGTCATTCGTTTTATGAGCTGTCGGGAACTTAAAAGTTAATTGATTTTTTTGCTGTATTTTCGAGTTTCATTAATTCCGAAAGAGATTCTTGTTTATTTTCTATTTTTTTTCTAGCAGTATTAAATAAGTTACTTACAAATGTACTATGGAATTAGCCAGTGAACAAATAACACCTGCCAATTCCCTTTTTTCATGACATTTTTACACTACCAATTTATAATTATATGCGACCGGACAATAATTAAGGTGGATGTATTTTTGCATGAAATTAAACTTTCTTTTTCATTAGGTTTTTTTTGTCGCGAAACCAAAACAATTTTTTTGGGGTCGAAATAAACCACATAATTCGAGAATTCGTTGCTGAAAAAATCAAAATATTTGGAAACATCAACCTTACACTCAGAAAAACAAAACAAAATTAAATAGCTAATGCTCGTTCTACTTCCCCCCCCCCACTCGTTTATTTTGTCAGCGATTCGACGATACTCAAGATAATTTCCTCGAGCCCACCGAGTTCATGAAGTTTGTTGAGCACAATGAGACATTACAGAATACAACTGACGACTTGAATCAATACTATGAGGAGAACACCTTGCTGAGGTCAGTATTTGAGCTACATGTATAGGCCTGCAGAACCTTTTAAAAATGTGAACATGCAACATTTGCAACATCAAAACAAATCTACCAAATTATTATGAAATTCCTTACTGGACTAATATATTAGTGACTGAGAGTCTAAAGCATCCTGTAAAATCATGGCACCTGGCGTACTGACATTTTCAAGAAAAGTGGTATTTATTGTAAATTTCCAAAGCTGGAAAAAACCGGCCTTTTTCAAATACTGCCCCAATTTAACACCGATTACATACCAATCGAACGGGTACAAGCCTTCTAGTCTGGTTCTCTGACCTTACAGTTCCCGACGTCTATAAATTGCTCCATTTTAATTTCAGTGGGGTATAAGGAACCAGAATACAAAAACATGATTGTTTTTATTGGTTTTCCCAGCATTTACCAACACAAAACTTCAAAAAAAGTCAGTGCAACAATATTCGCTTTAAAATACTAATCTCCCAAATCCATCCTTTTCTCTTAAACTAACAGTAAAGACAAATGTTGCATATTCCTATTATTCCTATTTTGGTTGAGGTTGGCAGAACGTGTCCTGTATTTTTTTCCCTCGAATGTCTGCAAGGTGCGTCCTCGCAGAAGTCTTTGTTTCTCGGTGATGAGTAGACACTTTGCACAATTATCACTGATTTAACAAGAATGTTGTCTTTGACAGCTCTTAACCGTGTGTTTACTTGAAGTGTATCGTTTGGTAACTGCGATACAAATAACCCATTGTCAAAGAGTTTGATACTTTTACCAGAAACTGTTGAGAAACCTACGTAACGATCAGCAGCATTTGCAGATAGACATTTTCCCAATTTTGCCTGTTGTTACTGGACAGCTTGGATTATAGCGACCGCTCCCGCTTATACCCCTCCCTAATACGCCTCCCACATTCTATTCCCTTTGTGTCTTTCCCCTCCCGACCTCAAACCTGATTGAGCAACTTTAACGAAAAGTTCACTGTTGAAAGGTGACGTAAATTTGCTGTATGTTCCCAGAAGCCTTTGCGTTGATGCACTCCTGGCTGAGGCAGATGAGAACTTCGATTGGAGGCTGAGTTTATCTGAATTCAAGAAGGTCATGATGCCTGGATTCAACCCACCCACCAAGTGTAAGAATAACGCTTGTTTATCTACCTGTAGAAAATGTCTCCCGAGAAGAGAAGATAACAATTGAATTGACAGTTAATTTAGTAGGGGTGATTTTTTTTTGTTAAACAGTGATTGCAAAAATGGATTGTGACATAAGACAAACAAACTAAGAGTTGCCCTGGGCATTATTATAAAACAGTTTAGCTTTAATCTTCAGCGGTATTTTATCTTCGCAGTGTGCTCCTTGGAAGGCAAATATTTTATGGACGGCCAAGAGAAGAAGAATAAATGCAATATCTGGTAAGAACCTTATCTTAAAAATATCTTGGGAAGAACGTATTGATAGTATTCACATACTAAGCGCAGGTCATACAGTTAAAATTGAATGTAATCTATAAATAATAGAATGGACAGGCATGCAACTTTTCCTCGGATTAGCTGATTTCCTCTTTTTTTATTCCCATTTCTGTCATTCAAAATAGAAAAACACTGTACAAAGTCTTCTGAATTTTGGAATTTCCTCTTTTTTTGTGAATGTACAGTGAATGGAGCTGCCTCTATTCCTGTGAAAGTTTGCGTCAGCGTAGATTTAAATATAATATAACGGGAATAGTTTCTTCGTGTATCGAGTACAATTTTTCTTCTCTGTTGTTTGTAGCATTTGTGCTTGCGGTAACTGGGTGTGTACAGCCAACGCGTGTGATGGACGATTTATTGCAGGGCAGAGAGCAATGGAGGAAAGCACAGGTACGGCTCTGCAAAGTGTCTGCCTTACACGTGCTAATTAAAATATTACAGTGGTACTTTGTGTGTTATGAACTCAGCTTCTCGACCCTGTACATTATTAGCAATTTATTTAAACTTCAGCTGTGATGTAACATACAGAATAGAGTGAGATTTTGGGTCAATGATGCATGCATGATCTTAGGACTCCGAGCACCAAGTATAGACAGCAAAAACATCATAATTTGTGGGTTTACCTTCTTTCATATCTTTATCTTTAATTTTATCCCTATTCCCAAACAAAAGAGGAAACCGTTTCTAAAGACACTTGGCTGAACATCATGAAGAAGTTATCTTCCGTGGACCCTGTCAAGTTTCCAACAGATTCGTACAATGTCAGTCAGCTAGCTGCCAAAGTGATCGGAAGAGAGGAAACGGTCATTGAGACATCTACAGAAGAAGCAAGAGAGCATGCGCATGATCATGACATCGCATTGCCTAGAAAACCTTCATTTTCGAAGGGCTCCCTCATAGGTTTGAAGAACACAATCTCCAAGAGTTTTGGGCATCTTAGGGAGATTGTTGAAGCAACGCCCGAGGAGGGAAAGAAGATGCGAGATAAAGTGTAAATATGAACACGCTGTGAGGAAATGTTCGATCGCCTTGTATTGTGAATGCTTCATGATATACCTACGCATAATCAATTAGATTAAGTACCAAACCCACGGAATTAGCCAGTGAAATGGTAAAATAAAGACTACGGGGAAAGCGTATTCTAGAGTAAATTTGTGGTTAGGTTTGGCTAGATTGGCTGCCCAGTTGACGTCGGTGAAATCGGTGTCATGTGAAATGTGGACTTCTATGGAATCTGGTTTCCTTTACCTGAGGTCTATGGACTCTTAACTTTTACAAGTGAACTGCCACTGTCTTGATTATTGTCACTAAGGCATGCGCAATACAACCAATGATACAATAGGGAGGTAGACTTACTTTTGATCACAACACCCGAGAATTTTGCACCTGTAATTTTCAACCGAATCTCCGGTCTGCACCAGCAGGATGACCCGGATGTTGCATCCTTGACCTTACGGATACGTGATTCCAAACCGCATCACTGCATCTATATCTCATGGAGTCCACATTTCGCACTACATCAGCGAACTCTACCATGGGTACGCTCGGTGAATTTCACAGGAACTACAGCAAACGATTTCGAAATTTTGTTTTTTTTTGTTTTCAGAATATCAGATAACCGATAAGCAGAACAATAGAAAACAGTTGTTGCCAAAACGTTCGACCAGCTTTTCTGCTTTTCCGAACGAAGAAAACGTGTGATCTGATTTTCTGCTCTTCGAGCAAGACAGAAAACAACAGATGTCCACTTTTCGTCCGCCACTGCCTGTGGAAACGTGAAAATCACCCTTTTTTAAAGCAAAAAGCAGAAAAGCAGAAAATGTAACCTTCGAAAACTATTCTGACAGCACAAAAGTAGATGACCACTTTTTGTACTCAATAACTTTCGTCCCCCTTAGGCCCATACGTTTGTCGATACATGGCGTTCACTATTGTTCCAGTCGAGATAGCTCTGCACAGTCTCGTAATGATAACGTCTTTGGAAGTTCAAACGTTATTGCTTATTTTGCTTATCAGTGATTCAACGAAAGTTAAGTAATAATATTGCCATTGGATTCGCGTCATTAATTTATGCCGGTATGTCATCGTCAGCTTTGTCAATTTAAAGAAAGAAAGCTCAGAATCCAAAGAATATACATAACATTTCAAAATGGAAGTCTTAGAATGCTCTTCGATGGATTTTTTTTCCAAAATAAGTATCTCAGAAATGAAATGTGTATAAAGCTATTTTTTTCAAATTTACTTTATTACGAAACCAACTTAAACATTAATTTAACTTTTTGAAAATGTATGTTAAATTGCTTTAAATAAAATAAACAATTCGAAAGTAAATAATGTGCATGCGCAAACTTAGATTAAAAAAAAGTTTAGAAAGCGATAACATTTGAAATTCGATTTTTTTCAGATTACAGTTATACTATCGTTTCTTGTACGGCTGTTACAATATCGATGCATGTGCATTTCTTAGAACATTTTACGTGCTTAGAAAAATGAGATAAGAACAAGTCACATTTCAACATGGATCTCACACCATTGTGGCTGGTAGGCCTGACTTCTTTTTGCCGAATAAATGGGGGGGGGGGGTTCCGCATAGCAAATTTCTCTGCTGAATAGCCTCAGAATTAAAATAAGACAAGACTATTAAAGCTGGTCCTAGAGCCGTAAAAGCTACTTAGAAGTTTAGTAAGCTTATAAATTCTTTGCAAGACATATCCATCAACATTCGTTTGGATGTCACACATTGTTGCAGGGAGCCGGATATACGGGGATCTGGAACGATTGGTGGTGTTTTTCCCATGATGATTTCTCATTGTTACCGGCATATTCTCCCACCCGGATCCAAGTAAATGAATTTCTGGAAAACAAACACGTTTTAATAGAGGTTCAAAGTGAAGTCCTTTCATAATTGCCCTCGAACAGACCAGCGTAAATAACATGGCTTGTTTCGATTAGCAGACCTGAAATCCGAGATCAAACCAAATTAACGCTTAAAAGGCAGTACGTGTACGCCACTGCCATCATTTTTACCAAACGCGAGTTCAGAGTGAGATCCGGCGCATTGGGACGGTAGCTGGCTGTAGTACGCCGAAGTAGGGTAAATATGGGAGCACTTCCTTATCTTGTATGGGTAGTCATCTCCTTTCTCGCTACACAGAGCTGTGTCGTAGACGCTCAAGGTGAGTCATAATTTTCAATCATATTTGCAATTTAACCTTTAGTCAATGAAACGTTGGTACTCTATTGACAATTTTGTCATCGCTAAATCCGTTTCATTAAATTTTGCAATTTCTATAATGGGAAGGGGAAGTGATGGTTATTCATTAAAATCAATGAGTGAAATCAACATCGATAAAGGAGTTGTTTATTTTTATTTATAAATACCTAAGACAGTTTACCCATTCCTATATTTGTCGAGAGCCCGTCTCGTGGCTGGCTTTAAACGGTTGATAAAGAGCGGCTGACTGCTCTTTATGTACGCTTTTCCAGTGTTACATGAAATTTGGACTCCTGTGAAACCCGCTGCCTTTTACCGTTTATTGGTTGAACGTTCACAATCTTGACGTAGGCATGCGCAGTACTACCGGTTAGTCAGTATTTCCTAGTCCTAAATTCACAATACACTGGCACAGCTGCGTTCTGCACCACACGCGCAGTAAGCGTGATGCGCTCGCCAATCTCCACATAAGGAGTTGTTTACGACTTACTTGCTAGAAGGACATACCCGGGAGCGGCGGAACGCTTTTCAAACTGGGGGCAACTCCAAAAAGTGGCACTTGCTTAGAAAAAGGGGCACCTGCATGCATGTCATCGGTGTGAAAGTGAAGTTAAAGAATAATGGTCCCGTTCATTTCGCTAGAAACCTATTTGAAAAGGAACAAATTATAAACACGTTGTCTATCTTGCTCTGTGCGTTTCTTTTACCTAGTCAAGAAGAGAGATCATTTGTTTTTTTTATCGCGAAAGGGGCACTGTTGCTTTTGATGGCCAGTTTAGTGACCATTTTATTCGCGTGAAGAGGTCTATTCCATGGTGGCCCTGAAGGGACATCACACATCAAGATTTCTGCGCAGAAATCTGCGATGTCGCACATTTTATCGCAGAAATCTGCGCAGATTTCAGTAGTGAAGCCCGTCTAACCAGGATATTTTCCCCATTTTTGACGTGCTCTCGACCAATCAGAAGTCCGGATTTGGCCCCACTTGACCCTCATTAGCATAAAATGAGGAATGGGCATCTACCATTGATCATGGGGGTGACACGAGTATGAGGGGCTTGCGTAAATGCAAATAATTAACGGCGTGTACCATTATTATGGTATTGAATAATATACGTATAATAAAAATTAGTTTTACGTAAATTGAAATGTACGAAACAATTATGATTGTCTAATTGGACTACCGGGATGAGTCATTCGCAACAAATCTTAAGGGTTGTTCCATTCTAGACGATGTTCGCCGTACTCGATAATAATTTTCGATAATAATCTTAAGGGTTGTTCCATTTTAGACGATGTTCGCCGTACTCGATAATAATTTACTAAAAGATAAATTCTTCAATTAGACAATCATAATTGTTTCGTACATTTCAATTTACGTAAAACTAATTTTTATTATACGTATATTATTCATTATCTTCAAGCAAACTTGATTCCTCGATCCTGATTGGTCGATCCATGGCAACAAGCCGTGCTTCATATCCGGCTCGTTAGTAAAAACGTCATACACGCGCACGCACCACTGATTACTAGCGCCCATTGGCTGCAAACGCTCGAACTGCGTTAACTTCCGGTTCCAATCGTGCAGAGAGTGCTGGAGGTGACGTCACACTAACGAACCGGACAACCATACCGCACGGCCACGGTCCATACCGCACTCCGCATATTGCGCTATTCTAAGCCTACGTGACGCGATTTGTGCTGCACAGCTCACTGTGAATTCAAAAGTTGCGCGTAGGTCACACAGCATGCGTGTTCCAAATGTGCGTCAAGTTTGCTTGAAGATAAATTCGTTATCACGCTCGCGCTCGTGGAACACGGAAAATGTAATGCGTCTGTGTCCCACACACCACTCGGCATTCGGCCTCGTGGCATGTGGGACACAGACGCACTACATTATAGACCGCTTGCAGACGCGTTCGAAAATCGACGCGCGAAGGTGCGCGACGCCATGTTGTGGGACAAAATGTGCATGGATAGATATGCGTTTGACCCACAACATGGCGTCGCGCGCCTTCGCGCGTCGATTATCGAACGCGTCTGCAAGCGGTCTATTCCGTGTTCCACTCGCGCTCGTAAGATAACTAATAATACCACAATAATGGTGCACGCCATTAATTATTTGCATTTACGCAAGCCCCTCATACTCGTGACACCCCCATGATCAATGGTAGATGTCCGTTCCTCATTTTATGCTAATGAGGGTCACGTGGGGCCAAATCCGGACTTCTGATTGGTCGAGAGCCCGTCAAAAATGGGGAAAATATCCTGGTTAGACGGGCTTCACTACTGATTTCTGCGATGTCGCACATTTTATCGCACATTTCCGTGCAGATTTCTGCGATGTCGCACATTTTATCGCAGAAATCTGCGCAGATTTCTGCGATGTCGCACATTTTATCGCACATTTCTGCGCACATTTCTGCTATGTCGCACATTTTATCGCAGAAATCTGCGCAGAAATGTGCGATGTCGCGCATTTTATCGCACATTTCTGCGCAGATTTCTGCGGATGTCGCACATTTTTTTCGTACATTTCTGCATCTTTTCAACATACTTGCGCCTGGCTATTTTGCTGCTGAAGCTAAGGGGTCTACGAAAATCCTGTTTTTATTATTGATACCAAGTTTTCCCCAAATATTCCTTGGTCACTTCTTGTAAATAAGGACCACCTTAAATGACTCATGAAGTTTCATTCGAAGGCCAGCGGTAGATTTTTTTTAGAACCGTTAAAATACAGCCGCTTTTCACGAACACCGCGCGGTATACACACACAACACACGGCGCAATGGGCGCAGTAGCTGTAGAGCGTGAACGCATGCACACACCACCGGGGCACGCGCGGCGTTAACACGGCGTTGTCGCACTGCCCTGCCCGCTGAGCTGCAGCTCAGCGAAACCGTGCGCTGAGAGTCACAGGCCGGTGGTTTGTGGGGGAAATATTCAGCAGAACTCCGGCCAGATCATGTTTGTTAAGAATACAAATAGTTTCGTACGAACACCAATAATATTAAGCAGGATGAGCTCACATCAGACTCCTGTAGGTCAGACGGCCTTATGAACATAATTAGTGCTCCACGTTTGCTTAGAATTGTTTTAAAATTTCATAAAAGAACCAATATCCTGCCCCTATTTGCACAGCAATATTCATGAAGTAAAACCACTACGGGTGCAACACTTATCACTTCAAACATTTTTCATTAACCCTAACTCCGGGGGGGGGGGGAGAATCGTATCAAAATTCCAGGATTCAGGACTGTTTGGGCTATTAGGAAAACCCGAGCAAATGCAGTCCTGCATTTCCACAAGAGTCCCGGATTAACTTCATCCAAACATTGAAAACCTTTCCTGTCCAGTCGTGTTTTGCTTCGGGTCGGGTCCACTATAGGCCAAACCGATGCGAAACATTATAGATATAATTCAAATCCTGCGCTGTGTTAATTTCCAAACTGTTTCCATCTTTTGTCCCCGTTTATTTCGAGTTTTGAATTGACCCTATCCGACCCGATCCGCAAATTTTCAAACACAAATCTGACCAACCCAACTGAAATGACGGACAAACCGACCCGACCTAACACAAAGTTGGTTTTTGGTTGGGTCGGTTACAGTTTCGAGTCGGGTCAGCACAACACTTCTGTCCAGAACCCTTCCAAGAAGCAAAAGTAGCCAGCAAGGTTGCTGAAATCTATGGCCACATGACATCACACAGCATATTGCCACATTCCCCAGAGATTGTAGAGGCTGCAGCCGATCATTGCATGTGGCACAAGCAGAGGCAGTCTTCACTTGAATATTAGATTTAAAAACAGGCAGGGTAATATTCATATTTTACTTTATTTCATTATTTAAGTTGGCGGCCAATTTTGTGAAATCCATTGGTCTCTCATTGGTCCAAGTACAGCTAAATAAACAATCAACATCCACATACACGCAAAAGTCTCATTTGTTTTAAAGTATGGAAAAGTAGGCCGACTTCAAACTTGTTTTTAGTAGCCTATTTACTTACTTAAAAAACACTGATAAAAATATCTAATTTAATAATAGCATTTTAGTAGTGTCAACAATTAGTTGATTTTCAGTAAAAGGTAATATCCAGTTCTATTTCTATTCATTTTGGCACTTAAGAGTGTTAACTCATTCGCAGTAGTCCTGGAGGATTTCCTACCGGTGTACAGAAATTAGCCTAGGTCACAATTCTGCCCTTTATCTGTACAAAATCGCAATGATAATGTAAGCATGGATCCAGCCCATTCAAAATGGCAACAATATTGTCACTAATGCAGTTTTAGTAGATACCGGTATATGACCATTTTGCCTATTGTTTATGGTTCATGTACTTGTTTTGCTATAGCCATGCACGAGAAATGAGAATGTAAATCATTTTACTGCACATGTGCAGAGTTGATCCAATCAATGGCCGTAATGTAAATGGGCATTAAAATGTAAACATGTCCGATATGACGGGAGCGAGAACCAGTCCATCGCGAGTGATCATGTGTGACGTGTGAATCCTGAGCCTAAATTCCAGAGCGATTCCTTTGCAAGCAAACAATAGAAGTTCTTAATGTGTCGGATCAAGGCGATGCACGGTTTGTTCAAATCTAGCAGTGCACATTGCATCACACAGTTTGGCACACATTCAGTTACCAAAAATACACCCAACACATGCTCATGTCTGTGTTATCCTGATCCTCCATGCACAAATGTGGGATGAAAGATTCACTTCCACTGTACGCTACGGCTCATCACGACGAGTCAATGGCTCATCACACCACCATCTCACCAGAGCTCCAGAAGATGCGAGAACCCTCTTGTCAGGAGAATGATACTGCAAACTTCCTGAAAAATCACAAAAAATGTTTTTTTTTTTTTTTTTTCAGAAACAAGGATCACATGTGCAATTGCTTTTATTAGGGGGTGGGGGTGCGGCATGGGAGAAATGTAGCCATACATTCAAAGTTCTACATGTACCGCCAACACTAAAGCAGTGGTGCATGTCACATGTACATAATGTATCATGACACCATTTAACAATATTTATATTACTTTATCAAGGGGGGGGGGTACACACTGCACAATTAGGCCTGTGCAAAGTCTAAAGTGGCTGAAAAAATTTGGGAAGCTTGGTGATCCAGAAAAAAAAGATCCATTTGTATGGAACAGGATCACACAGAAACAAAACACCTCAATTTAAAATTGCCAATTTTCCCATGAAGCTGAGGCACTAATGTGTTTGTGTTTACATGAAAATGGATTTGGCATTTGGCTAAGCATTACTGAATTAATATGCAAAGCCTGAAATAAATTCAACGTCAGACATGGCAGAATAAGTTCTGCGAACACGAAAGGTGGCAATTAAAAAGATTAGTCCGACATGTTAAATATATGTACTTTTATCCTGTTTATTACTGTCAGAATCAAATTGAAATGTTCATTTTTTAGCATTGTTTTTCTCTCTGTTGTCATGACTTATTCGTATTGTTTTTATCAATTTTATATTGAATCGTGCAAATTGCATCCCCCCCCCCTTCCAATTTAGGCCCAGTTGATGTAATTTATGTATGGAAATCTTTCCCGTGTATAACAAAGTTGTAGCACAATACACGACATGTCATATAAATGTACATCCCGCCAATGGAAGATCTTCGTCCACATATGCACGAAAGAACATACGGGCTAGATCCGCAAGCTTGCCCGTACAAATACATGAACACGCAAACGGTCGAGTTGTCTCTAAACCATCATGCGATTTGGCTATGCGTACTGCACACGCGCGTACCGTGTACGCTTTACAATCAACTCGACCGTTTGGCATTCCGCACACACACGAAAATACGTCACTTTTTGCACCTCATTATCAAATCATCAACAAATCTACCGCTGTCCTTACTTTCAAACCGAAACATATGCAGCACGTATCTCAAAAACAAAGTTGATGTGGGCCTTACATCGGGGAAACCTCTTGTTTGGAGAAACACACCTTTTAATGTGACAAATTTGTCACATGACCGCACACCGTGATAATCAGCTGCGACATCCACAGAAATCTGCGCAGAAATGTGCGATAAAATGTGCAACATCGCAGAAATCTGCACAGAAATGTAAGATAAAAATATGTGCGACATCGCAGAAATCTGCGCAGAAATCTGCGATAAAATGTGCAACATCGCAGAAATCTGCGCAGAAATGTGCGATAAAATGTGCGACATCGCAGAAATCTGCACAGAAATGTGTGATAAAATGTGCGACATCGCAGAAATCTGCGCAAATTTCTGCGATAAAATGTGCGACATCGCAGAAATCTGCGCAGATTTCTGCGATAAAATGTGCGACATCGCAGAAATCTGCGCAGAAATCTTAATGTGTGATGTCCCTTCAGGGCCACCATACTATTCATTGTTTTAGGGGCCAGTTTTCCATCTTGAGAGGGAACACATTTTTAATGTTGTTTGCGAGCAGGGCACTAAATATTGTGCTTTCAAGGGACATTTTTCGTCTGTCGTACTGTTCTTATTTTTGCTTTGCCATGGCATAAAGTAAGCATCAACCCAACCTCTCTGCACTTTCAGACACTGAAGCTCCGACTCTAACCTGCCCAACGGATCAATATGTCAGTACCGATAACGGCTTAGCCACTGCATATGTCCCATGGTCGGCATTTCCATATTCTTTTGACAATGAGGACGGCTTTAAAGTGTGCGACATCACATGTCAAGATCAGTTAGGCGATAAGGTGGAGTTTGGCGGAACGTATAAATTAGGCACGACGGTAGTGACATGTAGTACCAACGATACCGCTGGAAACCGAGGAACTTGTAATTTTGCAATTACAGTTACAGGTTGGTATCTAGACATTTTTATTTAAGAGTTTGTTGTCATTTTTGTTGATTCAAATCGTTATTGGGTTGTTATATTGAGTCGACTTCATACAGAAAAAGGATATGAATTCCGCACATTAAATTCAGTGGCGCTTTATGCTATTTTCGAGAGCCTACTTTTTGGGCGCTATCAGCAATGCGCTCAAAATTCACTTCTCGTGGTCTCCTTCAAATATCCCTTTGTATAAATCGAGAAAAGGTATACTTAACATTTACTTTTGTGTGTGTGTAGACGACGAACTTCCAGAAGTCTCTTGTCCCAGCAATGTTCCTCACAAAGAAACAGACATCGGGATGGCGTTTGCTGTGGTCCCTTGGTCTCCAATGCCAAATGCTACGGATAACGTTGACGGCGTGTTGTATCCTAGCAACATTACATGTGTGGATGACATAAGCAACACTGTGAGTTCCAATGACACTTATGGCGTAGGAACCACGACAGTGACTTGTAGCGCTTCAGATACAGCTGGAAATCAAGGATTCTGCCAGTTTAACATCACAGTTATAGGTTGGTATTTTCCCCTAAATCTTTTGCTGTTTTTAAGCCAGTTTCCTATTAAAACGAAAAATACCTAAAGAGGAACTTCGTTCGTACAGATTCACATTTCCTAAAGTCTTTACAAAGAGGTCGGTAGTGGCTCAAGTAAGGGGAGGGTATATTCTTGTGCCAGCACCACCCCCACCACCACCCCACTCAGATCTTGGGGGAAAATTGAACTTTTTCTTGTCTTAAAGGCATTGAGTGTCACAGTTACATATTGAGACCCCATAAGTGCTCTCCCTCCCCGGAAAATCGGGTCACAGTGACGCCACTGTGCGCTTGTCATTAAAAGATGTTTCACGTTTTCAAGAGAAGGTTTCAGCACACGGCACGGATATTTCGCGTGCTACGCGTCAGTGTGAAACGCTTTTCGGCACTCGCCCCATGTTCTAATAATTATTATTGTATGATTTGATTGAAAGATCCCGATCCCAGACAGGGAACTCTTTGTTTTTGTTGTTGTTGTTGTTTGTTTTACCTGAGATCCATTATAAGCAGTAATGAGAATATCGGTTAAAAGCATGACAGCGCCTACTAATGATTACCCTCGCCTGCCACGAAGCTCTATACACATGTTTTTAACCTCCAACTGCAGCTTGTAATCGCTTCTTAAAACGTTAGATTTTCAACCTTTTAAAGTGATTTGTGCTCAAAATTATTAACTGAGCTTCTGCGAGGACTCTGAATAGTTTACTCTGCCGTTTTATTCATTTCGAAAAATACCCAATTCAAGCCCCTCGCAACACTTGTCGCGCGCAGAGTCTATAACAACTGTTTGGTTTCTTTGCAGACAACGAACCTCCAAAAGTAACTTGTCCAAGCAATCTTCCTGACATCCCTACATACATCGGGATGGCGTTTGCCGTGGTCCCCTGGTCAGCAATGCCAAATGCTACGGATAACGTTGATGGCGTCGTGGATCCCATCAACATCACATGTGTTGACGACACAGGCAAGATTGTGATGTCAAACGGCATTTATGCTGTTGGAACCACAACAGTGACATGTAATGCTACAGATACCGCTGGAAATCAAGGATCCTGCCAGTTGAACATCACAGTTGTAGGTCGGTATTGTTTTACCTAACTTACCCTTTTTTCGCCAGTTTTTAATTCACACAAAACATACCTAAAGTGGAACTCCGTTTGTTTATTCATTTCCTAGTGTGTTTAGGGGCTGGCAGTGGCTCAAATAAGAGGAAGGTATTATGCCCTCTCTCTTATCTCCCGCCCTCAGAAATTATTATTATTATTATTATTAATCATTTCTGGTAATTAAACCAAGGATTCCTCAAGCGCCCTAGGCACTGTAGCTCGCAAGCCTGAAGAAACCTGTGGAGAGAAGACAATGAGAAGAAATTACAGTTTTAGAGGTGGGAGGAAAACCCTAGAAGAATATTCTGGGGAAAACCCACGGAATCAGGCAGGGGCTGAAAACCCAAGCCACATATTGGCCCAGGTGGGATTCGAACCCGGGTCACAGCGGTGGAAGGCGAGGAAAGTACCGCTACGCCAACCTGACACCCCAAATTGGGAAGGAAAATTATCTTTTAATCTTTTAAACCCATTGAGTGCCAGTTTCAACCTTAACAAGTGTTTCACTGCTCACAACTGAGCTTGTCATGGACTGAGCATGTTTCTAATGGTAGAATAGAAAAACTCGTCTTTTTGCAGTTATATCCATGTTGCAAAATATCCATTACAAATCACGCATACGTGTCATAAGTGCGCGCCTGACCACACGTACTTACGGCTGCAGGTACCACAATTACTTTTTCTGCAACCAAACGCAGTCAGTGCATGCGTCAGTTGGTAACAGAATAGTTCTGGGACTTAACTTCCCTTTAAGAGCCACTTCCTCTAGAGCCACGAATGAGAAGAAAAGGTTGAATTTTATTTTATCCATCATCAACTTGATTGAACACAATATAGGAAAGAATATTCACTTTTTGGAAAATAAGAAAATGTAACATTTCCTACACGACGATTCGGACCTATAACCTGCATCATTCAGGCTACAGCAAAACCACGCTGATCGCCATGGAATAAGCTACAGGAACTTATTCCTAATCAGGTGACCTATTTAGTTATTCCTGCGATAGAATGTATGTTTTACGTATACAAATACTAGTTAATGACTTTACTGAGATGCAAAGGAAATATTGTCCAGCCGGTGGGCATGGTTCATAAATGCGCGGTCTGTACCGCCAGTGTGAAAGCACGCGTGATCAGCGTCTCTAGTTTGGGCTAGCCCAACTGCCTTACCCAAGTTGGGACACTTTCAACATATTATTTTAGACCAATAATAAAGTTCAGATGTCTTATGCACATCGGATGTGACATGCAGTACCAAATTGTACTGGAAAAATGCAAGCGTCGTGGAAGTTTTCATTAAAGTTACAGTTGGTTTAATTCGCATTTTCATCCTTTAAGTTTGTCGATCCACACCGTTTACGTGTCGGAGCTGACTACATACACACAAAGGATTAACAATAGATGGTGCTTTGTGTCCACTATCGACAGCCTTATTAGGCCTAGTGGCGCCAAGTAGGCCACGCACATTACTTCTGAATGTGATCGCGTCACCTCTGTAGTAGCTTCAGGCGCTCCTGTGAGGTACGGTGCTTTCAAGATTCATCTCGAGTTGTCTTCTCCAAATCTCACTTTTCAACCAACGAGGGCATACCTGTACATTACAGATCCCATAACAACTTAATTGTCATATTATGCAGACACCGAACCTCCAGAAGTCACTTGTGCCAGCAATGTTCCTAACAAAGGTACAGACATCGGGGTGGCGTTTGCTGTGGTGCCTTGGTCTCCAGTGCCAAATGCGACGGATAACGTTGATGGCCTATTGGATCCTAGCAACATCACATGTGTGGATGGCACAGGCGAGACTGTGAGGTCCAACGACACGTACGCCATCGGAACCACGACAGTGACGTGTAATGCTACAGATACAGCTGGAAATCAGGGATCCTGCCAGTTTTACATCAGAGTTATGGGTTGGTATTTTTAGTTATAGATTGGCAGCTAAATTCACACAAAAGATAATAATTAACATCACTTGTCGAGCTCAGCCAGGCATTTCATTTTGGATTCTTGTTTTCCTTCATGTTGTCAATCAAACTTTTTTGAATGACACTGAATGTCACCCGCGCATGAGCAGTAGGTCGCTCTGCTTGATTACGTTCGAAAGCCCCAGTGGCGCGGAGTACCCACGACTATTGTTTCCTGAATGTGAATCAGAAGCGTCTTAGCGCGACCTCAGGCACCACCAGCAATGACCTCAAGATACACTTCTAGTGGTCTCCTCCAAATATCCATTTGCAACCATTAAATTAAAAGGTACTTTGCATTTGCTTTATTTCTTTTTCGCAGACATCGAACCTCCAACAGTCACTTGTCCTAACAATGTTCACAACATAAGTACAGACATCGGGATGGCTTATGCCGTGGTCTCTTGGTCTCCAATGCCAAATGCTACGGATAACGTTGATGGCCTATTGGATCCTAGCAACATCACATGTGTTGATGATTTCACAGGCAAGACAGTGAGACCCAATGACACTTATGGCGTAGGAACCACGGCAGTGACATGTAATGCTGCAGACACAGCTGGAAATCGAGGATTCTGCCAATTTTCCATCACAGTTGAAGGTTGGTTTGTTTTTTACCTAACTTGTGTCATTTTTGGCCATTTTTCAATTCATATGTCTTCAGATTCACATTTGCTAATGTGAGATTAGTGTTGACAGAGCTTCAACTAATCGGTTGTGTTTGCATGGGGGAGGGTGGAGTTGGTTTGATGGGGGTAGCGCCAACCCACGCTCAAGACCTGTGCCCTTCCCCTTGTGCTCCCAATCAGAATTTGGGTGAGAAAAGTAGCTTGTTATCGTCCAAAACGCTTTGAGTGTCACATTCAGACACTGAGACACATGAGAGCTAAAAGTGTGTGCATAAAGTGTGCTGTACGTTTGAAGTTGTTAAAATCAATTATTAGAGAAGTTTTGTAAGTAAACGAATGCGTAAGTTCGACGGATGGGTACCGGTAACCAGTTTGTGGGGTCTTATGGTGTTATTATGGCTATCCGCTATGTGGGGTCTTATGGTGTTATTATGGCTATCCGCTATGTGGGGTCTTATGGTGTTATTATGGCTATTCGCTATGTGGGGTCTTATGGTGTTATTATGGCTATCCGCTATGTGGGGTCTTATGGTGTTATTATGGCTATCCGCTACGTTTGTGCACAGACCAAATAATCACGTGCCTTTTAGACACGTCTATATAAGTGCGACACATAAATTATCGGTATTTGACCATTTTCGTATCTTATTATACATTTATATTGAAGGGCGATGAACTGCTGATCTAGAATGTGGCATTTTTTTTTTTTTTGAAAGCAAGATTATCTGCCTTTACAAGGCTTTCATCAGGGGACATTTTGGATTACTGCTTTTACTGATAACGGTGCGGTGCGAAACAACAGAATGGTTGATAACTGTAACGGATTGCTAAACTTTTGCGTACACGTCATATCTGTTCAGATGCAAACACTTTGTATTCTTCGAAACTAAATCACTTTTCTTTATCTGCAGACAAAGAAGTTCCACAAATTATTTGTCCCGATAGCGTGCCGTCCAAGGAAACAGATATCGGAGAAGCGGTTGTCAGGTGGTCGCCAATGCCATCAGCTACTGATAATGTGGACAGCTTTACTATCAACGACATTGCATGTCACGATGGTGCAGGGGATGTCGTGGTGTCTAATGGTACTTATTCATTGGGCACCACGACAGTGACATGTCGTGTAAGTGACAACGCTCATAACGAAGGATCGTGCAAATTTACCATCAAAGTTGTAGGTGAGTATTACAAATTATACATGTACAGGGTGAGTCCAAAAAAGTAGCTTTCATATGGTTTGGTTTAAAAATGCAGAAGTTACTGTTCACACGATAAAAACATGGCAGTGGTTCTTTTGTGTACGGCTGCATTGCCTATCTTCAACTGTAAGGCATGGTGCCATATGTCGCATCGTCTGCATCAGATAATCAAAGCCAGTCCTTTTCCATCAGTCTTACAAATTACCTTAATTATTTTTCAGTGAAATTTTAATTATATGTTGTAACACATATGAAATTAGTAAACCCAAATGGAGACCTAACATAGTGTTCGTTTTGAGCAAACTGGTGGTTTTTAAGAATCACATTTTGTGTCCACACCGTTGACTATTATTATTGGGAATTGATGGTGAGCAAGATTTTTTTTTTATATTTACACTATATGAGTGTGAAGCCATATTTTGACATGTCAATCGTTTTTAACAACAAACAAGAACTTTACGGGAACCTTGTCGTTATGCTGGTATTGATATAATTTTCAACGTGTTCTTCACTTGAAATATACGAACGACAGGTCCATTAAAACGCTAAATATAATGCACCCAGCATAAAATGAAGTTTCAAGACTAATTTCGTATATAAACATTGACAATAATATTGGGGGGAAATGGAATTACAGCGATCAAACAAAACTGTTGAAGTACTATACAAACTGTCACAATCCTGACAAGAATTGATTGGGAAGGGCAAGGGGTTTCCCCTAACGCCATCAATAAGTAGATATGGTTTCATATAACTGTTCCTCTATATTTGTATCTTCATCGAAACTGCCTCAGAAGTGGTACTTCACCCATTTCATTTTGTGGTTCGTGTGTACATAACCAAATTGACTTTTTTTGAGTGTTTGTACTCCTTTTCGAAATAGACAAATGATACTTCTTTAAGGGCTGCATGAGGCTTATACTGTGGAAATGAATTGGAACTTTTTAGTTTCGGTTTTTATAATTGTGGTGAATCTATACACTATACGTATTTTGAAGATGTGCGTTGCAATTCGTCAGTACATTTAAAAAGAATTAAGGACATTATCCGTAAGACGGATTTCCTTGATGAAACATACAAACAAATAAATAGCATTACATGCTGATGCATTATGCTTTATCTTTGCAAGAACTCTCTTGCATTAGCTGATTAGCTTATCTTAAACACATTTTCCTCTTTCCCGTCGCTTGAAGGTTGTCAAGTTGGTCAACACAAATGCTCCAATGGCGTGTGCATTCCTCGTTCCCAAGTCTGTGACAACTTTAATGATTGTGGTGACTACGATAACTCAGACGAGAAGTCTACATTGTGCGTATCTGAATGTAAGTATTGATTTAATCCTCAAGGAGAGATATCACTGACGTGGTTGTATCATGTCTGGGATTGTAATTGTATTGATCTATTGAATGACCAAGTGCTCAGGCTACAGGTATGAATGTTGAGATTAGATCAGATAAGAATGATTAGATCAGTTGTTTCCTTGTCCAAAATCAGAGAAGTAAATAAGTTCTGTAAAGTTTGAAATTCGTCCTTACCGGTACTAGTTTTCACTCGTTTGACATGGATTCAGTTGAGACAACTGTGTTAATCTTTCAAAATTAATACCAACGCTTTTGCAAAAATGGTTGGTACTTTGTTGGTTCTTCTCCTAAAAAACTCCGCAGGACCGTTTTAACAGTTGTGTTGTATAACTTCCACATGATGTTTAAGAGTTTCCAGCAACGATAAAATATGCAGATGTGTACACTCCAAATAAATCCTCCTAAAGAAATTGATTTTACTTTTGTTTAATGTACAGCCTATAGTTTCTGCCAAGCTCACGGTAATGCAAGTAAACCATGCATTGACCGAACTGGAATGCTGAACAGTAGTGATTCTTATTCGGTCAACGGAACTGCGGTTCTCACTTTAACAGCGCCAGCAGATTTCTCGAAGTCTACGTACCTTAGTCAGGTGAGTTTAAACAGCTTTGCCGACCTATATATATGCGTGACAACAGATCAAAAAGACTGTTTTATTGGGAAAAAATGGTACGGTACCGTAATCTATGTTGTGATGACAATATGACAATTTTATGAAATACTCTGAAATGAAACAGATCTAAATGTTATATTGGTCTTATTGTCACATAAGTCCTATTTTTTCCAAATTACTCTCTGCGTCTAGGTTGCCCTAGTCGTGAACGACTTCCCCGGATTGTTTAACAAGACAGTGTTGGTTAACATTTCATTGACTGACACTACACATACCTCTAGAGTTTGGGTAAGTTCTAAAGAAATTAAACAGCAAATCTTAAGAACTAAACTAGAATTTAGTGTTGAATACAACAGTGCCTTTACGATTGATTGTGATTTAAATTTGTCACATGATATACAGCATATCACAGTCCATTTTTTTGTTGCCTGACATGCACTTTAGGAATCATTCAGAAGCTAGAAAAAGTTGACAGTATTCTCTTGGTCTCCACTTGTAAACTATAGGCCTTTTTGAAATTCCAATTCTTACCTACTTTGCCTGTTTGTATCTAAAAAAGGAAGTATCATGACAAATATAATACATTGAATTATTTTGCCGTGCAGATAAACGAGGACGTTGAGATGGTGTCAAAGGAACTTCGCGTTCCAATCCTCGTTGATCCCGGCGAAAACATCAGCGTTACCATGGAGTACATCACAGATATTCAGAACAACCCTCCTATCGCAATCAAAGTTAACTGCTCTAGCTGCCTCTTTCTACATTTTCAAGCGTACCTTAGTGGGTGCGAGTGCTTACCAGACTATGCAGCGTGGAGGAAGGGCATACAATCCGCGCAGTACATATTCAATACTACATGCGGTGTACCTGACACCAATGAGATATTCTCATCTGCATATGACAAGTGCCTTGGTGAGTTTGATATTGGTTATTGGGGATAACGATTCTTTAGAGGAATGATAAAAACAATGTATTACACGATTGCAAATCCTTAAATACCTCGCTTGGCACATTTTTAACCCTCCGACGCAGAAACTAGCCCTTTTGGGGACCCAATTTGGTTAATTACCTTAATAAAAAAAAAATTTCCAACCAATTCTGGTGATCTTCCATCTAATCCTAGCCAGAGACACCCACTACGGATATATGCAGTCACCTTTAGTGTGTGACCCCGGGTCAGGCATATCTGAGCCTGACAACCTGGGCTGCCCATATACACGTGCACAAAACAAAGTCACTTGCGGGTAGCCAAGTGCACGACTTGACCACAGACTATGTATACAACATCTGTTTCCTTATTTAAAGTCTACAGACATGTCGAAATTGTATACATATAGATACTGTGTTGTGTAGCCTCAAACCAAGGCGCTAAATGTCTGGGTCCCCGGAGGGACCCCTTACTGTAAGCGTGTTAGTAAATGTGCTTTCTGCGTCGGAGGGTTAAGTGTGCAGAAATGTTTGCACGAGTGCTCTTTAAAACCGGCTCAAACAAAATCAGAACTCGAGTGAAGTGTGAGCCATGTTATGTATAAAAAACAAAGCAGTACACTCTTTAAATATTAATATTATAATGAGTGCATAATAAAACGGTTTACCTATAGAAATCTTCGATTTAGGCCGAATGAGCAATGCAAGTTATTTTTCCTTCTAGGTCAACCGTATTTCACTTATCTCAGCCCTGATGTGTCGTCATTTCTAGATGACGGGGTCACCCTGTCATGTCAAGCAACTGGTGACATTCTTCCGCGTACGCGATGGGTAGACGCGAAGGGATCCACACTACAGTCCAGCCTGAATTCAGCCTACCTGAAGGTTGTAGTTGCCGACACTCCTCAAAGGTAACATTCGTTAAGTTCGTTAAGTAAAAAGAAGGTCCGACTCGTGGAGGTGCACGTTCAGCAGAACATTTTCTCTAACACTTACATGTTACATCAAATCCAGTATTATTGTGATTCATACATCGTCAAGTCAACAATGAACAAAGATTGAGATACTTGGGATTGTGCGGAGGAGTTGCAGTAATTATGACTGATAGTAGGATTACTTATTTTCCTTAGTTTTAAAAAAAAATGAATAAAAGTGCTGCAAACTGCTTACAGGCAGGCTTTACCAGAAATACAAATAAAAAGAAAAATACAAGTCATATCATGTCGATCTTAGCATGACCTTGTCAGAGGACAAACGTATAAGAATAGGGTATAGTAAATGTAACGGTTAAATGTCTGCAAGCACACAGTCCTAAAAATGTCTTTCCTTCAACGTTGACAAAATATACATGTATATGAATTACAAACATGCAGCGTAACACGTGTATCATATCATATCACATTATTTTACTTAGGTTTAGATGTGTGCTCGATGACGTGAAACCCAGTAGAGAGGTTACAGTAACAAAATGGGGTAAGTGATGAAGTGACATGCATTTTCATAAACAATAAAACATTACTGATCGAATTCGTGATTGACTTTTGATTGATTCAATTTGATTGATTTTTCATGAACCTATTTCAGCATCACTACTTACATAATGTTGATAAGGCAACGCAGTTTAACGATTCACAATATCAAACAAGGTCTTCAATCAATTTAGACTTTTAGCAGCCACAAATTGTTTCTTTCTTTCATTTTGCAGATTCTGGTTGCAGGGACATTTACTTTTCTGAAGAACTTAAAGTGTATCGTTCTGCGCCTCGATGCTATTCCTCTCATGTTCTCAATTCGAGCTGTTTTGATTACAACTTCAATTTCAATATAAACCGTCCCGCAATCGCTCACAAGTTGAGCATAACATTCAACTCAGACACCGCTTTACTGTTGAAAATAATCCCAATCATTGCGTACGATGTTAGGCTAAGGGTGCCCGGAATAGAGTATCTTCTGTACTATTACAATCAAGAAGAACATAAAGACGGCTACGGTAAAGTGAACAACGTGAACGATACTGCAGTGAAAATAAACCTGCAACTTGTTCCCCCAGTTGCTTTGAAAACTGGGTTCTTTAATATGATCTTCGCAATCATGCCAAGCCAAGGCGTTGAGGATTTGCTGCAACGGATATTGATGACAGCAGAAGTCTCAGTGATAGAGTGCGACCAAGGAGACGGCTGCGAAGGATTCTTCAAAGAGTGGTCCAGACTTGAGACGGAGTTCAAGGAATCGAAATGCGGCAATGGACTGCAGCAGGAATATCTGTCATATCAGCAGTGTCGGGAAACGGCAGAACCTGGACCAGGTAACTTCACTTGGCTCTTGACTTTCATGCGCGTTGCCCCCCCCCCCCCCAGCTTTACCCCGGCTGCCTTAAATAATTGTCCATCTCTCCGTGATTCCTCCTCTGATTTTCATATAAAAGAATTTTTTTTATACTTTCTCTTTTGTTTATTATAAATATTTTCTATTTATAGCTCCCATCGTTTCATCGTCTGCCCAGTATTTGATCGAGGTTCCTAGTGACTTGCCAAGTGGGCAACCTTTCCCAGTTGAGTGCCACATTGAGAATGCCGCCACTTACGAGTGGTACCGAACCAACGCTGACGGCCAGCGTGATTTCGTTACCAATGGCTACGCTCTCATCTTTCCATCGTTTGAAGAACTCCGGGACCAAGGAGCTTATGTTTGTGTTGGAAGGGGCAGAGGACTGCTCATCAATGTTACCGCGGAGTATCAAGCAGTCGTGATGAAATCAGGTCAGGTTTTGGGTTGTTGGTTCACTGGTGCAATACTCTGGTGTGAAATTGAAACATTCGAGTTTCGACACCGCTATTAAATGTGTGAATAAACTTAACGGGTCATAATTGAGATATTATTTGCCGCAGACCAGTCGACAGCGACCACCAACACACACGTGAATGCATACTTCCCCTCCCAGAATAGAAAAGTTCCTGCATAACGATGAATGTCTGGCTAGTAAAAAGACGAAAGTCCGAAAAACAAGATAGAGTAGTCCAACTCTCCTGTAGTCCTAAGGATCGACCAGCGATACACGATTACGTATAAAAGACTGGTAAAGTTAACAAACTTTTGCAAACATTTACACAATTTGCATGCGATTGGATCGTAACTAATTATTTACTGAGTGGTAAGATGTTCACGGTCAAGTTCTCGGAAATTATCCAAACAACCAGGGACCCCCAACAACAACAGGGAAATTTCACCTCGATAAATTTTAAAAGGAGTGAATAATACACGTATATTGGCTTATGTTTTTCTTATTTCAAGGTATCACTACATTGATGGCCAACACGACATTTGTTAATGAGGTATTTACCGACGATCTTCGTGATGCATCTAGCGTCGCTTTCAAGAATCTGACGGATAAAGTACGCAGCAAGGTATGCCTTTTATCTGATATAATGTTTATGAAAGGCGCCGACATCCCCATTCGTCGTGTTTGCTGGAAAAGCATCGTTCCTGTCGGCCATATCGTATCATTGTTGACAAATGAGGCCACCGTGAACAGCGCCACCTTTATTTTCAGATGATGCCCTGTCCACATTCCGATTCGCCTTTCCGTCGAAAATTGCAGCACCAATTGGTGACGTCACTGCCTGTGGGGGGTCTGTAATGTTAACATCCGTGTTCAAAGTTGGTAATCTTTGACAAAATACGACTTGCAAATGCAAATAAGATGTAGTATGACAACGTGAAGGATATTACCAACCGAATAACAACCAACCGACTAACGTTTTGAATGACAGAAGTATAACACTGTAACAAAAATGCCCAAATTGACGGTAATAATGCACTGCATACGGCCTTTCACAGTTTTGCCCGTGAAATGCAACGCGTCCGTAATTAACGGTTACTCACGGTGAACATCTACACACTTTTCACCGTAAAAAGTACGCCATTTTTTTCACCGTGTATTGTTTAGTCTATATTACTGGATGACTTTCCAGTTGACCACCGACCGTCCGTCTTCTCGATTATGGACTCCCCAAACAAACTGTCAAACAATTAATTTTAAGCTAAGTCACAGATTCGGACAACAAACCGGAAATTCACAGTACTATAATTGAAAACTTATAATGGGCTTTCAATAATTATTACCTCGTGGTTTTCGATAGTTACATTGCGAGTTAACTACCCGGATTGAAATGTTCCAATGTTAATATGCCTCGAATTTCCATCGGTTTCCTTAGTGGGAACTTATTGTGAATAAGCAATAATTTATTTCTGAGAAGATAGCACTGTCTAATTATATATGTTTCATGTTAAGGTAAACATTGTCCACATAAATCGTATGCCTTCGGATAAACTGTACTTTTGCTTGAGAAAGCAGCCCTATAATATTTTCTCGTATAACCACATTGTCTTTACAGCTGCCGTTGAATACGATTTATCCGTCTGTTGTGAGCTACGACATCGTGCGCTTCTATAACGGCAGTGTAATCGTTGATATCAAAGTTGTCGTCCATTCTCCTAGCAATGTGTCTGACGCTGGTACTATTTCATCATTACAAATGGCGATGTCTGCATATGCCTCCGAGAATTCAGACATCGGTCTGGATCCCGACACTGTTAAAGTGGTGTCACTCTGTAAGTCAAACGAAACAGTTTCTTTTTTTAATCATCGCTTTTGCTAACAAATTTTCAAAAAGAAGTACTTTAGGAATACCAGCATGACAATCCTCAGAACGTTTATCGGCAAAGTTCTTATGCTAATTAAAAGCAAACGTTCTTTTTTTGTTCGTGGGAATTTTTCTTAAATGCTTCGTAGATAATTTGTGTTCAAATGGACTGAAGGTGACGTTTGAAAATTAAATTTAAGAAATGTATATGAAGTAACTGTTGCAAAGGTTTTTGCTATTTACAGCATCCTGTGCTCGTGAAATCCTTGAACTAGAAGGCCAAAACGTGACCTTCCCGCAAACAAGAATTGGCCTGAACGTTGAATTACTGGAGGAATGTGCCATTGACGAAAAACAGGGTAAATACAATAAACAACTTAATTTAATCAACTTTACTTTATGAACGGTTACCCTCTCAATCCGTGCATTTAATATGGTGTGGGAATGCTATTAAAATACGCAAAAGAGGGGTATGCCTTCCGTTTTGATTCATGGAATAAAGGGCTTAATTTTGTTTTATTGTTTCTACCGCAAAGACATCACGCGTTTATCATCATAAGATAAACACAATGTCCTGGTTAAGACAGACCTCTCATGCAGGGGTAACCACCGGATTTGACTTTAAATTGTTATCATTACGCAAGCTAGGTACGATATAAAATCAACAAAATGGACTTTCAATTATTTTTTAAAACTATTGCTCAGGACGGGTTCTGATTTCTCGAGCATGCTCCGGGGATTTTACCCAGGGTGCACAGTGGCTTGTACCCGTGGTGGGCAATTGCAGCGTTGATGTCAATGGTCAGCTGGATTTGTTGAAAAAGGTAAGTTCAATAGATGCAGAATAAACTTCATTTAGTATGGATTCCGTACTCAAAGGGCGTCCGGAGCTACGGCAGCGTCTGTTGTGAATTTGTTTCTGAAGACATTGACAAGAGATGTAGGCAAGAGATTAAGATGCGGCTTTTGTTTCTTGCAAATGACTAAACACGTCAGCTACCTTTCGTGAAGGAGTTCATTAAGGCCTACATACTATGAGGATGAGTAGTTTATTTTTGTGTTTCATTTAATCAGACATGGACCTTACATTCCACTATTAAGCATGAGAGTGTAAAGCAATGGATCTATTAAAAATAATTATTCTGGAGAAAGGAATACTAGCCTATTCGATCCTTATAAGCCTCAAATCACCCAAGCCTAGAATAGCAAAAATATTAAACAACAAAACGCTTTTCTTTAAACAACCAAAAGGACAATAATTACACACATCAAAAAATGAATTTAGTTCTAGTGTATAATACATGTATTGTTTGTTTCAGATAACGGTAACAAGTGACAATGTAATGGAGGTGTCTGAGTCTCTGGAATCCCTCACCAGCGATGCCTCATCAGTCAACGGTGAATCTGTGGTATTAGTGGCTGATATCCTGGATAACATCGTCAACATTCAGAATCCTTCCCCAGAAGTAAGTTTTCAAACAAAGGGGTACATGTATATAGATAGCTTAAGTATGTAACTTTACCCTGGATGATTTTGATTTTCAAAATAGAATGTGGGTAGAGAATGTTATCATAAAGCTTTACAATCATATAAAAATATCCAGTATACAAATGTAACCGCGATTTCTTAAATCGAGTGGATTGGATTTTTAGTGCCTGTTTGATTCTGTTGGCTTTCCCAGAATATTCCTCTGGGTTTTCTCTCCTACCTCTAAACTGTAACTTCTTCTCATTGTCTTTTCTCTACATGTGGTAGGCTTTCGAACTACAGTGCCTAGGACATTTTTGAGGAATTCTGGGTTTCATTACCGGAAAGAAATAAAATAAAATAATAAATAAGTCACTACTGTTGGTCTGAAGAAAAAAAACCCAAATACTTCAGTTAAATATGGATGTTCAGTGAATTATTAAGTTGCATTTCCTGGTCCATAGGTAACATCAAATGTTGTGCATGTTGCGAGCAACCTCCTTGAAGTCGATGACGAGGCTTTCAGCAGCTTACCCAACGGAGATTCTACATCCCGCATTGTACAAGCCCTCGAGACTCAAATCTCGTACGTTCTCGAAGATGGAGCGAACTTCACCGCCATTTCCCGTAGTCTCGCTGTCCAGGCGCTAAATATCCCTCCTAGTTCATTGGATGAAGGCGTGGGATTCGTTGTAATCGAAGGAGAGACTACGGATGGCGTCCTGACGAATAATAGTGTCAGTGTTTACTTTTCCGTCTCTGAATTTCCTCCAGAGACAGTGGAATCTTCCATACATCTCCCAGATGAGATTTTACTCAACCACCCAACAGGTTGGTATTAAAGAGGGCATGTTGGTTGCCTTGAGGCACCTCCAAACCCATTCTTTATTTAGTCTTCTCCATAGTTTTCAACTCTCCGCTCATTGTGTTTCTTTTTTTTTATTATTATTAACATTCAACAGCTTCTAGTCCGGTACCTATTAGCTTCATCGTGTATCAAACGAGCACGTTATTTCGTTCAAAACTGATTGCTGAAGCTGAGTCAACTGGTTCCCGTCTGTATGTGAATAGTGCAGTCATTTCTGCTACGGTGGCTGGTGTCCATATCGAGAACCTACCAGCAGATGATCCTGTGGTTGTTATCTTCTATCAGAATCCAGTAAGAATGCAAGTTATCTATCAGTACATTAATGCAGAAAAAAGTAAAGAATATCACCACAAACGCTGTGTGCGGATGGCGTGATCAGTATCTGAAATTACATTTAAGCCCAAATATTACAACAAAGACAACGTGTTTATCTACAAATCGCCACAGCCTGAACGTTGCTTGTATTGCTGCACAGGAAACTGCTTTATAAATGTGATTTGCCTTATCATTATTGGGAATAACCCCCACTTGACTTTTCCAGTTACATGCCACATCTTAAAGATCAAAATATTAAGACAAAATACGCTCTGCACAGCCAACGGCAGTGGAAAACGATCATCATTTTCTTCTACTTTTTTGGGTATTTTGTCTTCCTCACAAAAACGCATAGTGTGAAACTTGGATGCTTGGATACAAAAAGCAATTATATATCGATTTTTACATGATTTTTCTAGTACACTTAAGGCGTCGATTACTTACAACAAAGTTTTTTTGTCACAGTAGGTCACAAATATGAATGCACTGTTTTCGTTAAGTGGTTCCAAGCTTTTACAGAAACATTTTGTTTTCAGTTGATTGAAGGTGAAGGGGCGGAAGTGCAGTGCGTTTTCTGGGATAACCAACTTCAAGATGGAAACGGAGAATGGTCAACAGAGGGCTGTAGACAATTCACCTCAGTCAGCGAGAGGACTGTGTGTCACTGTAATCATACTACCAGCTTTGCAGTACTCGTGGTCAGATATTTAACCAATTATAAACACCTTATTTTTTACATAAAGAAACAAAAACTGGTCAAAACGTGGTTTAAAACCTACAAAATCACATGATCAGGAATGCACGCTGCCAACATTCACGATAAAAGTAATGAGTGCTTTCCAAAAAATACAGTCCAAGCATGACGGGCGGACTGGAATTCACGATCCCGATAGATCGTTACAACCAACCTTGCTTGGTCTGTCAGGTCAATCTCCACCTTTTAATCAAATAATGTTTGTCATGACAATTTACTCTTTTTACTGTTATCTCTATAGGATATTTCATTCCATTTTAACTTTCCTTCAAAAGAACCAACCAATGATCTATTGCTAATGAGTCTAAATTTATGCATCACATTTTTAGTTTTCTGCTCTTTTTAAGAATAGACTTTGATCCTTTTCAGGACATTCACGGCCAAAAATACTCGAGCTTAGCTCTCGATATCATCAGTAAGATTGGATGTGCAGTGTCGATTGCTTCCCTTGTTTTCACCATCATCATATACCTCGCCATCAAGTAAGAATGTGACTTCAATCAAATGCAGGAATTAAAGAGCATTTTTCGATTTCAAGTCAACTATAGGCGAAATTATACCCAATAATTATTATTGTACCGATACGAGAATTTATGATAAAAATTTTCTAAAAGCATTATTCTCCTATAAAGTACTGTACACAGTGGCGTGTTCATCCATGCGTAGACAAAACATTTTCATTGGGGAGCCTGGGTGGGGGTGCCGGGGGGGGGGGGGGTTGCACGAACATTTTCAGTGCGTCCACGGGGCTGCCTGGTACTGCATAAGTTGTAAGCGGCTAAAGTTGTAAGCGTGTTACCTATACGGAAATGATATCCACTTAACAGTCTCAATTTTCCCGGTAGGTCCCTGCGAGAGAAGACGCCAAGTCGCATCTTAGTTTGCTTCTCTTTCTCACTGCTCTGTCTCTATCTGGTCTTCCTGATTGGTATTGAGCAGACGTCTTCTCGCATAGGTTGCATCATCGTTGCTGTATTGATGCACTATTTCACTCTTAGCTCCATGGCATGGATGGGAGTCGAGGCAACCAGCCTCTATCTGAAACTCGTTAGAGTCTTCAACTCTAACGTGGTACACTTCATGGTCAAGGCTTCTATCGCTGCATGGGGTGAGTGCTGAAACATTATTTTGAAACTCGTGGATATGACGTTTGTATTCATAATGTAAAGTGGTTTGGCGAATGTGATTTTAACAAGTGAGATAACGTGATCTTTGTGTGTCTGGATGGCAAGATTTGCACATGCATGGAGTAAGGCTGGTTTGCTACAGGAAATTATATTATTACTCTTTTTAGGATTGCCGGTGGTTATTATTGGAGTTATACTGGCGGTGGATTACACGGCTTATGAAAACAAAAACAGGTAAGAAAGACGTGGACACCAGCAGCATAAAACCTTTGGTAAGGAATCCGATTGGACTACCGCCCAGTGAACAGAAAGAACATTGAGAAATCGGAACGCCACCGAACGATGTTCGCAATGTCTTAGGTTCGTATCCCTCAACAGCGGGACTCGAACTTTATACCGTTTAAACATGAACCTAATTATAATTATAGAAAGTGAACCCTGTAAGTTTCGGTCTGAACTATAGTTTTTGGTATAATCCTTTCAAGTACCATGATTTATTCGATCGGATGCTTTGCACAATACTTTGCAGTAACATCGTACTTATGACGAACTCTTAAAACAAAAACCGAAATAGGTCTTAACTCGTCCTTTCAGTCGAATAACTTTGATTTTTATTAGAGGAACATGTCATAAAAATCACCGTTGTTTAATGTCGACTAAAAACCATAGGTAGTTAGGTACACAGATATCATATAAGTAAATTAAACTCATGAGACATAATTTAAATTTACAGTTGTTTCTTGAAGCCTGGCGCAGCCTTCTACTACGGTCAGCTGCTCATGATCGGTCTGGTCTTCCTCTATAATGCCTGCATTTTGTCCTGATCGCCCGTCGTTTGACATGCAAGGCTAAAGTGATCCAAAGCTCCAACACGAAAGGCAAGCGAAGTCAAATGGCCAGGCGGCTGCAGAACATGGCATCTATCTCAGTGCTTCTCGGTCTTACCTGGGCCTTTGGTCTCCTCTCAGTCATCGAGTCTTCCAACTTCGCATTCCAAGTCCTTTTCTGCGTCTTCAACTCCCTGCAAGGCCTGTTCATCTTCCTGTTGTTCGTCCTCCGACAGGATAACATACGAAGCAAGATTCTTGGATTCTTTCAGAAGACACCAGCGCCAAGTGGAACCCTCTCCTCATCCGCACCCAATACCAAGTCACAGCCGAGATTCAATTATGTTGATAATAGTGATAATGAGATACAGGAAAATGTCTTCGATAATCGGGCAATGAAGATGGATGAGATAGTAGATAAAGAAGAAAATGTCTCTGATAAGCAGGCTGGAGATCAATCGAAGAATGGTGAGAATGTAGAGATAGAAGATGATGTGCATGATAACCAGGCTACAAATCAACTTAAGGCGGATGTGATTGTAGAGAACGAAGATAATGTCTCTGATTAACTGAATATGGAAGTGAATGAAGTGGATGAGTCTAATGGGTATGACAACTAAACTGTATAATCAACGTACAATAAATAAGATTGTGCAAAAAGAAGAAAATAATGAACAGGTTATAGATCAGGTGATGTGAGGTTTATTTTTAATAGATCGTGTATTTACTCTCATTATTGGCAGCATTACAGGTACAATCACATTCTTAGCGGTCTTTAGCCTCTCGAGGGGGTGTAAAAATGGTATTAAACTTGGAGGATTCAGGACTGTTAAGATTTGTAGGTCATGATAATAAATTTGATACTTCAACTTATTTAGTTGTTTTGAAGATAAATGAATTAAGCGATTGCTGCGTAGGCCTGTTTCTGTCTTTCTTTCTTTAATCTTTTCCTTTTTTTGTAATCCCGATAAAGCAACATGTCCGGCTTTTTGTTCGGTTCACCGACAAGTCACAAGCGCTTCTATGATCCCAGCTTATAATTTGCAGTAATGCATTTGCTAAAGCTGAAGTGCAAGATCTTAAAGCCGACAAAGTATTAAACTACAAACACAAAACTTATAATTGTGAAGTATCCATCGAATGGGTTGCCCTGTACAGATTTTATAACAACTGCGTTGATAACAATATTTTCTATTCTACATATTTCTGCCCGAAAAGAATAGCAAGAAAACCTAAAACGGTGCTTTAAGAATGATAGTTGGCTTACAGCAGAAAAACTGTTTCATAAAAAGATCTGTGAGGTCAACTAAGTAACCTATTCGAATTATTTCTTAAATACAAAACTTATTAAAACTATTAATTTAAAAGAATATTGTAAATACGTATTACATTATACCTGTATCATTAGAAGTATTAGAAAACTGTACTTATTAGCAGTGATGCTTTGTCTGGATTATTATTCAGTTTTCGAAGGCCGGTTGTCTTTTTGGTGATAATCTTTCGATGCCCTAAAAATGAATATCTTGTATCAGGTGGCACTTGCGCCGAAATGTGAATTTTATATGAGGTTTTCCCTCAAAGCGCGAATCGACTTGCGGTTTATTACTGACGTATTACCGCTCGACCACCGTTCTTGCCTGGGACCACGCGGCGGCTGGTGGCTGGTGGCTGGGTTGAACCGGAGTAGCAGCGGGTACCGCAGCCTAGCCATTAAAGAGTAGATTTTAAAGTTGGGGAGATGAACATTGGTATTAATAGTGAATTGTTATATAGGTTTTCCCTGCCAATTTTGCATAGTGTTCGTTTAATTTGAAACATGTTCATTCAATTCCGTCAAGATTTTGAGAATCGCTCTGAATACTCGTTCATGTAAAATATAAGATTATTCGATTTTGATGTAGTTAAATCAATTGATGAATGTTTGTGTAGAACGTTTTGTTTGCGTTGAATAATACTCATAAATACGATTTCTTTAAACGTAACCAAGCCGACGAGAGATGGTGACAAAACTCTCAGTTGGAAACATTACATACACTGTGTGGACTTTCGAAAAAATCTTGTACATTAATTTGAGTATACCTGCCGTCTACATGTACCTGCATGTACAAGGGATACATGAAGGCGTAGCCTGTGACAAGGGATCATGTTCGTTCCTTATGCAAGGCTTTTTTATACCCAGTATTCGCGTGGGGGGGGGGGGGCACACGTTAAAGAATGCTTCTGCTGGGAATGGGATCAGCCATCAATTTCTTTTGTAATGAGCAACATTGAACCTCAAACCCACTAAGCAACTTAAAGTGACAAGAACCGTTGACGAATTTAAACCCCGAAAAAAAGGAATGCGAATTGAAGTCACATTGATATGGAAAAAAGTAAAACACGCTTTACAGAGATTATATTTCCAAAATAATTAATTGTATCAATATGACAATTTGACGATAATTAGTGGTGATATACTGACATAAATATCTACGGAAATCTGGGAAGAAAGAAATAAAAGATAATAAAACAACTTACAGTGTTTGGACGCTCCGTACGTAGTTTTTGCTACCGTCGATTTCTTTCAAAATAGGGCGTCCTACATAAACACTGGTCTGCACCTTTAAGACTTTTGTTTAATGTAGATGACAATCTGCGAACAATACAATTTTTTTTTAAACATAATGACTGTAGAATAACACATCGCATTTAATGAAAATTGCGTCCGATAATTGACCTTGATATTTTACACAAGTTTGGAAATCGGATGAGAACCAGTCCAGAATAAATTGAATATGATTTACGAAAATATGGTGTTCAAGTTAATCATGACAACTTCATAACGAAGCTAAGTCACTTTTTATTGAACAAAAACAGAACACTCCTTCTAGAGACAATAACTGCAGAATAACGCATCGCATTTTTTGACACAGAAAGTAAGAATCTTGTCAGGACGTAGATTAAAATAATGTAATTTTATTTAGTGTTTTAATCGCAAAAACAATTGATTGCGAAATAGTCACTTTTAATTGAACACGCTATTTATGGAGACAATAACTCCAGAATAATAGATATTGATATGAAAATATTGTTCGATAAGTAGTCGTCACGTAATGACCTAAACAAAAATACCTAGACGGAAATCTTGAAGGAAAAAAATACGCGACAATAAAGCAAAAAAGTGTCGACGCTACGTATATCAAAATTGCTTTCATCAATTTCTTCCTAAAGAGGAAGACGTCTGTCAATATGTGTCACGATGTGCCCATTTGACAAAAATACGACACTCTTTCTAAAGATAACCCTGCAGAAGAACTTGCACCGCATTATTGGCCGTGATATTTGACGCAACATGATTGAAAATGGAATAGAACCGTGCGAAAATATTATGCGATATGATTGAAAGAAAACAGTATTTTTATCGTGACAAATAATCTTTCACTTTTGAATGAAATTTTGGAAAATATTTAGTGGCAATGTAATGATTGAAAAACAAAATCGACGGAAATCTTAAACGAAAAAAAAAATAACCACTATTTGGCCAAAAAAAAGTCTCCGGTTTCTGATATGCGCGCGCGTCGCCGTAGCCATGCGCGTCGGCAAAATGGAAAAGTTTTTCTTTTCACTGAAAGATGTCTCAAAACCGCCAACTGGTTTGACTGGAATCCTGCTATTGCACAATTTTAACGTGTTTTAGATTGGGTTATAGTCGAGAATAAGCTTTAGGTGGCCTCTCTGGACTCCCGAATATTTGCACTAAGTTTAGTCGGACACCATTTGCAGTCATCAGCCGACATTTGAAGCAAAAAAATCAGGTAAAAAAAAAAAAGCCGCGTCGCCGCACCACTTTTGGGCAAGAACCATACCGGAAACCGGAAACTTTTTTTGGCCTTTGTTGATGGTGCCGATATCTTAAGAAAAATGCGTTGAATTTGCCACTACAGCGTGTAAGCACAAACCGTATTTCTGTTGTCATCAATTTCTTCCAACAGAGGGTGCACTACTAAGTCTAAAAATGTCCTACTTTGGATCAATAATAACTTTGTTGTTTTCTAATGGAGTTAAACTAAATTTTTGATGATGTTCACGAGGAATTACATTTTTATTAAGCGATTTTCATCAGTTTTGTACGAGAAGGTATGATTTAAACACCATCCGAAAATACTCACTTTCAGAATTTGCTACAGTTGACTTGGCGTCCCCAAATGTCCATGCAGCGCTGGACACCAAGCTGAAGCCCGTGCTGGTTTGAAGCTTCTGGAGGAATGCAGAATCACCTCTGGTTTCGTTGCAAATGATCTAGGACAATCCAGGAAGTGTGCAAAATAGTGTATTAATCGCGAAACTTCCAATTCGCATTAAAGTCACTTTTATTTGAAGACAATAAATGAAGAAAACATATTCCAATATTTGATCATGATATTATGTAACCGGGGAGAGTGGGATTTATTAGTTTTAAAATGTGGCACTCTCCTTACAACCGAGTGGTTCCACTAAAAATAATTTGGGTGGAGCGAAGCTTTCTGTTAGTCTCAATAATATCAAATGTTTTATTTACAGCACAAATATGAGACAATATATATACAAATTATTAGGTATTTACAAAAGAATTACAGTATATAAATAAACTTTGGGTATATCAAACGAACTTTGTTGAGTCTATAAAAACGACAGTCAAAAAGGGAAAATAGGCTAATGAAGTTGCTCCAAGGATAGTATCTGAAATGCATAAAAACAATAAATGACTTATGAATTATGGGAATAACTTCCATATCAAAATACATTATTAACGATATTTAATTCAAAGAAATTTGGGAAAAACTGGTTTCCTTATTTGTAAATCAAAACACTTTTTTATACATGCAGGAATTAAATAGAGAATCATTAGGGAAAAAACTGATTCTCAAAAATACTTGCAAATCACGACAACAGATTGATTTCAAAAGTTAATCAGTCGTGATCGCAAGGCAAATTTCCGGCCGTGTCCGTTTTGACGGCCTTAATTTCTGGCAATAAAC